TTGTAGTCTTTTGGACGCTGAGTCGACTGGTTTTGGTCCGAAAAGGCTGCGATGCAGCGTTCCTCCTTTATTCCCAATCGAACATGGTTGAACAAGCGGTCACGTGCTCCTGCGTACACCAGTCACCTGGTCACCGTGCCTGCAGGGTACAACTTACTAGCCTGTTTGACCTTTTTTGGGTGCAGTCCTGTCACTTGAACTTTTTGGTTGGTTGGTTGGTTTTTATTTCACTTCGCACATTCAAACGGGATGACGACCCAATAAAATGACGGCGAAGGCTTAGCCTAGAAGTGGCTATGGAAGAACATAGTAAAAGCTATGGAAGGACATAGTAAGAGAATAGGATACTAATAACTGCGGGTAAACGGGGGGAGAGAGAGAATACGATGTATCTGTGATACTATGTGCGGGTTACTGAACTGCACGGGGAGGGAGAGCAGACCGATCAGCAGCAACTCGAACTACTCCCTACAGGCGTATGGTACACATGCATGCTTAAACTCAGGTAGCCGGGTAATTGTGCGGACCTCACCAGGGAGAGCGTTCCACAGCAGAGCACCAGCAACAGAAAATCTCCGCTGACCGCGGCGGCTACGGTTTGCCTGGCCTAGTAGGCCATTTGACTGCTGATGGCGGGTAGGGGTGCTTTGTGCCGGGGTCAGAAGCTGGGCGAGCACATGGCTGGTGCGGGCGTGGATGCACCGCCAGATGGTGATCAATATTTTCTGCCTGTAGAGCTCGCTGACACGGTACAGGGAGTGAGCAGTGAGCAGCGGCTGCATGGCTGTCCGGGGCGGGTTGCCATCGATACAGCGGATGGTTCTGTTTTGCGTGGTTTGCAGTCGTTTCAGTTGACCCTCTCGCATTGCGGCTGAGAAACAGCAGGAGCCATAAAGCAGGTCGGGCATTATGACCGCCTTCACATACACCTGACGAGAGCGTCTTGATAGCCTTCGGCGTGCCCGCCACAAGGCGCCAATTTTCTTGGCAACCTTGGTGACCACATAGTTTACATGGGTGTCCCAATCTAGGCGATTGTCAAGGTGAACGCCGAGGTAGCGCGCAGAAGACGCTGAGGGGAGGAGACAGTCGCCGCTTTTGACTGTTACTTCCTGTACATGCTGCTGGGGAGAGATAGTCAGAACCTGGCTCTTGGTGGCGTTCAAGATGAGGCCTCGGGACTTCAGCCAACCGGCCAGAGCAGTTGCCGCTGTGGTGAGGGTTCTGGACGCTTCCGCCGCTGAGGCCTGGGGGTCGTACAGGGCTATGTCATCTGCAAATTGTACACTTGGTACAGGCGAGGAAACCAAAGGGACATCGCGTGTGTATATACTGAAGAGGACAGGGCCGAGAACAGAGCCTTGGGGTACTCCGCAGGTGCAAGCCAGAGCAGGGCTGGTTAAAGGCGAGATGAGGATCTGCTGCTTGCGGCCGGACAAGTAGTCGACGAACCAACTAAGGGCTTTTCCAGAAATTCCAACCGCAAGGAGGTCTTGAATTAACTTGTCGTGGTGCACTTTATCAAAAGCCTTCGACATGTCTAACAGGCACAGCCCTGTGGTCTTGCCACTGTCTCTCGCCTTCTGCAGATTATCAGTCAGCACACAGAGGGCGTCTTCCGTGGAACATTTCTTGCGGAAGGCAAATTGTGTTTCGGGTAATGCCTGGGTCAAGTCCAAATGACGAACTAACTGGTGTTGCACTACCCTCTCCAGCAACTTGGACACTATTGGGAGAAGGGATACAGGTCTATAGTTGGTGGGGACTGATGGGTCACCGGCCTTGTACAGTGGCACGACAGACGCCAATTTAAATGCGGATGGAATGGTTCCAGTCCTCAGCGAGGTGCAGAACAGCACAGCAAGAGAATATGAAAGCAAGTCAGCACACTGCTGTAGCAGAGAGCCCGGTATGCCGTCACTACCTGTGGCTTTCCGCGCATCCAACTTCTCAAGGAGACGTCGGACGTCAGCAGGAGTCACAGGATCAAGTTCGGTCAAGGAGACGGGTCCAGCGGGACCGTGCGGGGTACTCGAGTTGAACCTTGGTGTGAAAGTTGTCGCCTGCTGGCGCGGTGACCAGGTGATTTGGGCAACCAGGAGCACGTGACCGCTTCTTCAACCATGTTCGATTGGGAATAAAGGAGGAACGCTGCATCGCAGCCTTCTCGGACCAAAACCAGTCGACTCAGCGTCCAAAAGACTACAACATATGGGCCAATCGCGGTCATCCGTGCTTTTATAAGAACGAAATGGCGCTTTTAGTGACATTTTGCATACAAATCCCCATCTAGTAGGGCGCAGTCACCCAGTTTCGGTGGAAGTGCGCGAGTTCGATTGGGATTCAAGTAGGAAGGGAGCGTCGCAGCTTCCTCGGACCAAGACCATTCGACTCACCACCCAGAAGACTACAACTGGTGAAATTTGATTTTAGGGTATACTTCTAGGCGCTGCATCTGCAGCTAGGGTTTATCGGGTGTTAGCGGCCGTCGTGAGTTCCCTTCGGGAACGGATACGATAATTTACTTTTTTTGTTTTACTTCTGGGTGGCGAGTCGAATGGTCTTCGTCCGAGGAAGCTGCGACGCTCCCTTCCTACTTGAATCCCAATCGAACTCGCGCACTTCCACCGAAACTGGGTGACTGCGCCCTACTAGATGGGGATTTGTATGCAAAATGTCACTAAAAGCGCCATTTCGTTCTTATAAAAGCACGGATGACCGCGATTGGCCCATATGTTGTAGTCTTTTGGACGCTGAGTCGACTGGTTTTGGTCCGAGAAGGCTGCGATGCAGCGTTCCTCCTTTATTCCCAATCGAACATGGTTGAAGAAGCGGTCACGTGCTCCTGGTTGCCCAAATCACCTGGTCACCGCGCCAGCAGGCGACAACTTTCACACCAAGGTTCAACTCGAGTTCAACTCGAGTGACAGGACTGCACCCAAAAAAGGTCAAACAGGCTAGTAAGTTGTACCCTGCAGGCACGGTGACCAGGTGACTGGTGTACGCAGGAGCACGTGACCGCTTGTTCAACCATGTTCGATTGGGAATAAAGGAGGAACGCTGCATCGCAGCCTTTTCGGACCAAAACCAGTCGACCCAGCGTCCAAAAGACTACAACATATTATGGGCCAATGGCGGTCATCCGTGCTTTTATAAGAACGAAATGGCGCTTTTAGTGACATTTTGCATACAAATCCCCATCTAGTAGGGCGCAGTCACCCAGTTTCGGTGGAAGTGCGCGAGTTCGATTGGGAATAAAGGAGGAAGCGAGCGTCTCAGCTTCCTCGGACCACGACCATTCGACTCAGCACCCCGAAGACTACAACAGTTACTGGTGAAAATTTGATTTTAGGGTATACTTCCCCTTTAAAGACTTTTAGTTCTGGGGTAGTACGTAGGGAGTTCAGTCACGTGACAAATCAGCTGAAAACAGCCTTCACGCGGGTCACGTACATTCATTAGTATGGTAGCGGTGGCACCATGGACTTCGCTGCAGTTTTTGTCGAATTGCTTTGTCCTGCTTTCTTTTTCAAAGTTGAAAGTAAATTAGTTGGTGCGTTTGATAGCTGAGGTCTTCCTGCTCGTTTTGGTGCCGCACTTGCTTGGGCAACTGTAGTTTGAGCTTTTTGTTGTGAGGAGTGTAGTTTTCAATTGGATTTTTCATCCGTTTGGAGGGAGTACACGGCCAGGAAACACCCACCATCGTGTTCAGCGACCTCGAATTATGTAGAATAGTGCTTTCTTCTCGAGCTGGGGATCGCTCTTCATCGCGCTTTCAAGACTTTCACCTCCTGGTCGCCCAAAAGGAATGAATTTCTGGACCCAATATGTTCAAGCGCTAGGAGTACTAGGAGTGTTTCAGATGATTTGTTGGCCCTAGTGAAAGATTGCACCTGACGGAGACTTTCGCTATTGCGACAAAGTGAGCTATGATTTTGTATTCGACTCGTCGCCTTGAAACCAGAAAGAAATTGCTATGGAGTGGTGCTCTGACATGGATCGCGTCAGTGATTGGATTGTACGCGTATTTCACTATTGTGCATTTTACATGTAAAATGTACATGTACATGATTGATCAACTGACTGTGTGACAGCCGCAGTAAAGTTGGGCATCTGAAGACCAAATTGCTGTATTTATTATTTGTACATGACGTGTATACTCCTGTATAATACAACCATAGCCACCGGTGCTCACTTCAATTTCATAGTAGTGGAACTCTTGTTCAATGGATTTAGCATTGTTGCTATGGTGGTTGCTACGGGCGCCGCGCTCGTTCTCATTGGTCATCGCTTGCCGAAATATTATATTTTGGTCAATATTAGGACTAACCAACCTGTATTGCACCTTTATCACTCCCTTAGTATTGACTCACATAGATTTTTGCCATACCTAAGCAGTCAAATATTCCTGCATATTTCACTCCTTAGGGCTATATTGACTGCTTATATTTGACTGCTTAGGGGTTGCGCAGTTGAACGGTGCCTAGTCACCATGGTCACTGCATGAGTAGGTGGTGGTGCAACGGTTGTGCAATCATAAAACCGGGATTCATGAGGTTATCATTCTGGAATTTGTAATACGGACTGTTTGTCGTGATAAATCTAATATTGACTTCGTACTTGGTCAGTATAGGAAATAAAAACCTCGTAAAAGACCTCGGCTTCGTCTCGGTCTTTTACTCGGCTTTTATTTCCTATAATCTAGCTATATTGACCTCGTACTCAGTCAATATTAGATACATATTACACCTATAATATTGCACCTACAAAAGTACAAGCCAGATTTCATAGCATTCTGATAATATTGTAATGTTGCTAAGCAGTTGCTAGGCTTTCCGGAAAACCCTGTTGGTGCCACAGCAGTATGGCATTCCGCATACATCATGATGAAGGTTGGCGTATAACTTTGACGCCTCATATCTCTGGTATCCTTCAAGATTTTTCATCCAAATTTTCTGTGCTATCTCCTGTACTGTAGTTCTTCCCGAAAACAAACAGTTTTCTTGGTTTACTACGAAAGAAAAAATACGGTGATATCCCTAGTAGTAGAGTTGAAAGTAGCGCTAGCACCTACGCTACAGCTACGTCGGTTTTCTTGCTGCCTCGATACCCCTTGCTTTCCGTCCGAATCAAGCAAGGGTCCCTGCACTAGCCGCATGTCATGATGGCGTCTGGAAATGAAGCGCGCAGAAAGCTGACTTTAGCGCGAGATAGTCTAATACAAGATCTCAGCCCTATTCCCTTTCTCGACCAACTGATACATCGAGAAGTAGTGGAGCCAGGAGAAGCCGTGGTGGACAGGACAACCGCTGCAATGCGTCAGCTGGGCAGAACGGACGCTGTACGTTTGCTACTTGATGACTACCTTCAACGTAAAGTCGCTGTAGACCCGAGCATTCTGGACCAGCTCATCGATTCCCTTGAAGCATCGAATCAAAAACACTTAGCTGAACTGCTTAGAAGACCTGTCCCACCTCCTGTGCAAGGTATGGTGCACTCAGATCTCTCTTACCAGGCCCGGCAATCCGGGACTGCGTACAGGGCACTGCTCATAAATTTAGAAATTATCAGTAACCACATACATAATTGTACGTTTCAATGGGGAAGAGCCAGAGATCTCGCATATGACACTAACTAACTTACTTCGAGGTCTGAATAAAAGAGATGTGCGTGTACTGTAATGTGTATTCATCCACACTGGCTACGACTGTTGCCTGTTATCACAGCGGAAATACCGTAATGTTATGGTGCTCAATGCTGTGGACAGCAAGCTGTTTCAGCCATAAAGGCCTCATCAGTACAGCTACGAGCTTTTTAAAAGCAAGTCGAGCTACCAGCCATGGTGCAAAGGAGGCATCACAGACATTAAGATAGCTCGTCCATCTAGCGCCAGAGTGCTCTACCTACTAAAAGAAGCGGGCAATGCGTAATGCAGCAGCACTAGAGCAGCCTACCGAGAGTGCTCAAGAAGACAAATGTCGAGGAGCGCAATACTGTAAAATGATGGTAAAAATATCTATCTATCTATGCACACCTCAAAGCTGTGCTGCTTTGAGGTGTGCATAGAGCTATGTATTCAGCTGTACTCTTATGTCCTGATCACGGCAAGTTGTACAGGACACCGCATTCCTGTGACGACGTCACTGAGACTGGCCAGAGATGCATGCATGACGTTGCATGTACACATTGATTGTAGAAATGGCCGGTTGCGGAGTCCGTTCGGTTGAGGAACAGCTTTGCCCGGTGTTCTCAGGTCGAGTATAAATCTAAACTCACCTAACAAAGCATGTCACACCGTGGCACACGCTTAATTGTTCTTCCCGTCAGGGGATTTCCAGGATGCCCAAGATGATGACAATTGTCCCCGGGAAACTAAAGTTATGTCCGATTCAAGGGAAAAATTTGAGGGCACAATTCTCCACATACATTGAATTTAGTCCACAAAGGGTTAAACCAGTACTGTAGCATAATATACATATACTGCTGCATTGAAGTGTCTGTATGGTACTATGGTGTGCATATCACCTTTTCCTTCTTCTCTGCATAACCAGCAGCCGGGGCAACGCCAGGAAATGATACCACATTCACCGCAGTGCAACCTACAGGCATGGATGAGCTTGACAGCTGCCCGCCCAAGGATGTAGCTGCCGGAAGTGAACTGTACGATCTTAGTAAAGGTGTGTACGTGTGTGTACGTGTATATATATGTGGTGGGTGTATGCATGTGTGTATGTTCGTGCATGTGTGTTTGTGCGTGCATGTGTGTTTGTGCATGCATGTGTACTTGAGTGTGAATGGGTGAGTGAGACAGATACCATCGGCGCACTTGCTATGCACCTTGTCCTTACTCCCCTACTGTGGTTTTGTGAGCTTATATGTGGGATCTCATTAAGGTCGAGTCCTGGTGGTGACCAGGGGCGTGCTTGGCCCCCCCCCCCCAACTAGGGGGGAGCCGAGGGGAGCCCCCCCCGGCAATTTTCTACAATTTGTTTGCAACCTTTCTTTTTTTCAACATTGTTGACATCAACGCGAACATGCATATAATAATAATATAATAATAATTGTTGCGACTTTGGCCGCACCTGCTGCACCAGTTCCGATACCCCTGCAAACGGTCCGTCGTATCACTGCGGGGCCCGGCGAGTCAGTTGTAAACCTTTTCACTGCACAAACTTATGCTCATCAGAAGCGGGCACTCGCAAGTCTGTAGAGCTGCATGATGGATCAAGTCAAGTCCAGGCCAGGCCTGTTCCTAGTGTCGGGTAGTTCTACTGAAGCAGCGTTAAGCCCAACACTGCTTTTGCATGGCTTGTCAATAGCTTCAGACTTAGGAACGGAATGTATGGAGTTGTGGTCACATCTTGGTCATGTGACTAAATTTGTGCAGAAAGTGATCATGTCATGTGACCAGCGGAACCAACATGGCCGACATCATGTGACCCATAGATGCAGGAGTTGAGTGGAGTTGAACCCAACATGCCTATCCCGTAAAGTCATGTGATAGATGTGAAACCATTCAGATTTCTATTTCTCTATGTGTGTGTTGTGCCAACATTTTCAGACGAGTCTCTCGACCAACAGCTCTCTGACATGACAGCATGGGAGAGTGACGTCTTCACAGAACTTCTGCCTGACCTGGTTTCCACGCTAACTCCAGGTGCTATGCGTCTCCAGTGTGAGGCTAAGAAGTTGATTACGCGTGCACAGCGTCAGCTATTTGCATCAAACACTGGCCGTGCAGCGCAGAATGAGGAATTGCTCGATGCACTAAGCACTGGTGATGACGAATCCTTCCACACCTTCCTTGAATGCATCCGTAAAGTCGAGCCATCAGCCAGCGCGAGAAGGTTATTGGCCAAGCTGGAACCCGTCGACAAGTTCCGGGCAGCCCGGCAGTACTGCTGAGGCCGCATTAGCGTCTGCAGGTGCATCTGCTGCTGATCCAGTGGGTAAGTAAAGAGCAGTAGGCTGTACAGGCAGAGGCCAGTTGGGACTTTTGCAGCTCCATAGTTTTTTTCGTGGTTTTGGCAGCCCAGCTGGCATCAGGCCGGTCTGAAGGCTTGCAGTAGCTAGCTAGCAAGCAGTAGGACTAGAAGGAGTAGTGTGATAGGGGTAGGGCAGTGTAGTGCGATAGGGGTAGGGCAGTGTAGTGCGATAGGGGTAGGGCAGTGTAGTGCGATATGGGTAGGGCAGTGTAGTGCGATATGGGTAGGGCAGTGTAGTGCGATATGGGTAGGGCAGTGTAGTGCGATATGGGTAGGGCAGTGTAGTGCAATAGGGGTAGGGCAGTGTAGTGCGATAGGGGTAGGGCAGTGTAGTGCGATATGGGTAGGGCAGTGTAGTGCGATAGGGGTAGGGCAGTGTAGTGCGATAGGGGTAGGGCAGTGTAGTGTTAGTGGATTTTCCCCAATTTCTTTTCCATTCATCTTGCCATGGGCGGGCAGTCAGTTCAAATTCGTAAACTCGTTACAATTAAATGTTCGTTAACTGGTCTTCCAGTATAGATTTTTAGGCAATTAGATAACACACCCGCAGTGATCCGCATTGTCAGAAGGTCACGTCGCTAAAACCAGAGGTCGCTTACGCCAGTTGCCATTATTTATTATATTATTATTATTTATTCTTCTTTTACTAGGGAATTCCCAACAGGCGTCAGCGCCTTACCATCACTGCACATGCAGTACAATTAGTTATTACTGTGTCTTGTTGTTTTCTTGTGTATGGACACAGGATGGTGGTGATGATGATGGCCATGATTGATCAACACTGGATCGCGGCGAGAATCTGTTCTGTCTGTCTCTCTCTGAGCCTGAAAGTCCTTCTGTCTCTCTTCCTGTAAGTCCTTCTGTCTGTCTGCCTTTACGTCTTTCTGTCCGTTTTTCTGCTTCAACTCAGACTCTAGACTGAGCTCTCTCCTTCACTTGCTCTCACTCTCGCTTGCTCTCGCAATCACCCAGTCTCTCGCTCCCACTCACTCATTAAGTCGCGATATTCTTCATTTGCCTGCTGCATTCGCTATCGTAAGCACTACTTCCTTTGAATATGCCTTTCTTCTTCTTCTTCTTCTTCTTCTTCTTCTTCTTCTTCTTCTTCTTCTTCTTCTTCTTCTTCTTCTTCTTCTTCTTCTTCTTCTTCTTCTTCTTCTTCTTCTTCTTCTTCTTCTTCTTCTTCTTCTTCTTCTTCTTCTTCTTCTTCTTCTTCTTCTTCTTCTTCTTCTTCTTCTTCTTCTTCTTCTTCTTCTTCTTCTTCTTCTTCTTCTTCTTCTTCTTCTTCTTCTTCTTCTTCTTCTTCTTCTTCTTCTTCTTCTTCTTCTTCTTCTTCTTCTTCTTCTTCTTCTTCTTCTTCTTCTTCTTCTTCTTCTTCTTCTTCTTCTTCTTCTTCTTCTTCTTCTTCTTCTTCTTCTTCTTCTTCTTCTTCTTCTTCTTCTTCTTCTTCTTCTTCTTCTTCTTCTTCTTCTTCTTCTTCTTCTTCTTCTTCTTCTTCTTCTTCTTCTTCTTCTTCTTCTTCTTCTTCTTCTTCTTCTTCTTTGATTGATTGATTGATTTTATTTTACTTCGCAAGTTCAAACGGGTTCCTGGCCCAGTTATATGAAAGCGAAGGATAGAATTTGCCCAAATCCTAATGAGCAACAGCATAGGCAATATTATCATAGAAGTGGAGTACTATGCGAGCGAGAATACTGAGAAGAAAGGAACATGTCAAAACCTGACGAAACACAACCTATTTCAGGCATACATAAGGAAGGCAGGCTAGCTTAAAATCTTGCAATCTGGATACGGTGCGCACCTCTCTAGGCAAACTGTTCCACAGCAATGCTCCTGCGGTGGCGAATCTCGTTTGGCCACACCGACTGCGAGCTGGCTGGCTGAGCAGACCATTGGCATGCTGATGGCGCGTACTCCTTCTTCTTCTTCTTCTTCTTCTTCTTCTTCTTCTTCTTCTTCTTCTTCTTCTTCTTCTTCTTCTTCTTCTTCTTCTTCTTCTTCTTCTTCTTCTTCTTCTTCTTCTTCTTCTTCTTCTTCTTCTTCTTCTTCTTCTTCTTCTTCTTCTTCTTCTTCTTCTTCTTCTTCTTCTTCTTCTTCTTCTTCTTCTTCTTCTTCTTCTTCTTCTTCTTCTTCTTCTTCTTCTTCTTCTTCTTCTTCTTCTTCTTCTTCTTCTTCTTCTTCTTCTTCTTCTTCTTCTTCTTCTTCTTCTTCTTCTTCTTCTTCTTCTTCTTCTTCTTCTTCTCGGCGCTCGGGAGCGCTTCGGCCTACGTTTAACGTACATCCCTACGCTATGGAAGCAACGACAGGTCATTAGATGGAATATCATCAAGAACAGCAGCGACAAGAACATGGCAAACCTGTACCAACATCACAGCAAACAACAGTATCTGCTCACAAGACAATACTCCGCAATAAAAGAAATGGAATGTGCCGAGGCAGCGATCTCTGAAGCTAGTCCAACTAACCTCCAGCAAGGCAGGGCAGGACTCGGCTTTAGGCATGACAAACAAGAGAAAGTCAAACCTAGAAAACAAATACTCAATACCATTCATGAAGGTGACTGCCAAGACCAGCTATCCCACCTCAAAAGCCTGCAAATGCAAGGCAGCTGGTTAAAGTGGAGAGACACGATGTTTGAAGACCTCACTTGGAAAAAACTGTTGTACGAAGGCTACGGGAGAACTTTCTCCTTTCAACTAAACTGTGTATTAAACACACTACCAACAGTTGACAATCTGAGGAGGTGGGGTAACTCTGTGGTCGAACAACAATGCCCTCTTTGCAACAGGCAAGCTACGCTCCGTCACATATTATCAGCATGTCCAACAGCCCTCCACCAGGGCAGATATACCTGGCGCCACGACAACGTACTGAAATGCATAGTAAAACTAGTAAACGAAACCATCCAAACTTATCAAAAGGCCACGGCATCAGCAGAAACGCAGAGTAAACAGAAGAGAATTGATTACATAACTTTCTGCAAGGCAGGAGAGAATCTCCCCAAACAGCCCCCCTCCCAACGCAAACGGCTAAATGACCAATTCGTAACTAGCTCAGCAGACTGGCAGGTCCTGGTGGACATGAAGGATGAGAAACTTGTTTTCCCCCACTTCATAGCACCTACAACCTGTCGTCCAGACATAGTGCTCTTCTCCAAAGAATTGAGAAGAGTTCTGTGGCTGGAACTCACGGTATGTAGTGAAGATCGCTTTGCACAATCGCGCGAAATCAAAATCGAACGCTATCGTCACCTTCATAGCGCGTGTGTAAGGAATGGCTGGGATACGGAAAGTCACACAGCAGAGGTGGGAGCGAGAGGCGCCATATCCACCAGCTTGGATTCCTTCGCGAGATCCTTGCGCTGCACTAAGGAACAGCGCAGGCTCTTGCGGAGGAATTGTCGCCAAGCAGCGCTGAACTCAAGCTATGTCCTATGGCTAAGGCGAAGGGAGCGAACATGGCGCGACTGGCCGTTGTATTAAAACTGTTTGGTGAACCTGTTGTAGAGCACTTGGTGGGCGATCGGCCACCCAGCGAGGATAGTTGGACGTCCTTAAAATCAAGATTTGAACTCGCCATTCCGGCCTCTAAAGGGCCGGGGGTGGACGATCGCCAACCTTGCCAACCTCTCGTAGTCACTTGTTCTTGTCGAATCGTTATTTTCATAGCCTACTCGACATTCACCCTACAAA